TTTTATATAAAAAAAAAGATATACAAGTGCAATATAAATAACTACATCATTCTGAGTCTTTCCAATAAAAAACGTAATAAACAGCGCGTGAAAATAATACACGGTTTTGATGATACACAATTAGCATTCACATGAAAAAAATATACAATATGAATAAAAATCACCATTAGTGTTCAATGTAATTTTATTTCCATATTATTTGTTGTTAAAACGATTAGTATGCTTATAAGTATCATATCAACCCCACACAAAAAATCACCATTGACGAACATACGAGTAATTAATGAATCTATAGTAAGTGCCAAACAAAAGATAGATCAACCTTTCCGTCTTCTCGAGGAAGTTGAACGAGCAAAGATAGTTATGTTGCAACTTCGAGTGGTTCGCATATTTGAGAGTAAATTTCCTAATTCTTATCATAACATCATATAAATTATTTTTCATAATATTGAGGTATAATATTGTTTGTTGTTTCTTTTATCTTTTCACTTTCATTTCGTTATTTTTTTTTTTTGTGAAGACTTCTGACAAATACTTCCAGTCATTTCAAACGGGAGTTGTTAGGATATTGTGAATGCAACTATTAATACTTTCACCATTTGGAGGGACTGTACTGTGTTGCGACTTTCAAAAAAACATGCGTCTTCAGAACATTTCTGATTCGGACGAGTGTGACAATGTAGCAACGTTTATTGATTGAATTGTTAGCATTGGAGATGGGTCTGTAGGAGGATCAAACGATGGTTGTACCTACATTAACATTCTAGATGTTACAAGACTGGAACCCTCCATTGATCCAAATGTTACAATCGTGAAAAGTACCTATCCAATGTTCAAGAATATAACCGACAATTCAAAATACTTGAATGATAGTGCTCTATTAGCGCCTACTTTGGAGGTCGTTGAGTCTATCAATTAATACATGTCGGAGATGAATTCTGACGAAGGTCGTATGCATTTGAGCTCTGACATTATGTGGAAGTCCCACTCGAATAATGACTTTTTTTGTTTTGGGCAAAATCTCCAAACTTTCGAGTTCTTGAATAGCATCAAGTTTTCAGGAACACCGAACCATGAATTGCATTCGAAAATTGAAACTCCAATCATGTTATTAAGGAACGTGGACAATTTTATGGGACTGTGCAATGGAACACACTTGGTTGTTACCAAGTTCTCTACTCATGTGCATGAATGTAAGATATTGACTAGAGATCATGAAGGTGAGAATGTGTTGATTCCTCGAATGAATATGATACCTTCCGATGTTCGGGTTCTTTTTACGTTCCAGCGTAAGCAGTTCTCCCTTATGATTTTGTATACCATGACCATATAAACAAGAGTCAGGATCGTATATTTTCTTATTTTGGCGTGCTCTTAATAAAATTGATATTTAGTCATGACCAGTTATATACTGTTGTTTTGGTATAACTAATATGAAGGGGTTGAAAGTATTAGTTTGTGAGGACGATGAGTTGCCCGACAATCAAACTAATGATGTTGTGTATAAGGAGGTTTTTAATAATGAATGACTTTTTCATGACAATTTTTTGATGATTACTTGACAAATGCTCTATGTATTATAACTTATTGATTAATAACCTTTAATTTATAACCTTCACCAAAATAAATATTGTCCGTGCATCGCACGGGTTACGTACTAGTATAGATATAAAGATTAACGATTATTTCTCTATAATTGCTCAATCAAGTCTATATATTTAAACTAAAGATTTTGAAAGTTTCTATAATACCCCCATATTTGTTTCCATAAAACTAAATCATCCTAAATTTAAATTCAACTAATAAAGGTAATAACCATAAATATTTGACTAAAAAGATTATGTACATTAATTACATTGATTTTTGTTAATTTACTATTTTTAGACAATAGTTAATGAAATTGGCGGGAAAGTATTTCTAAAAGTGAATTATGTTAATTTACTATTTTTAGACAATAGTTATACAATATGGATGATAAATCGAAGATCATCAAAAGATGATTAATTTGATATATTATATATGTAAAATCGATACGAAATACAGAAGTTATCGACTTTTAAAATACATTTATAATTCAATAGCTAATTGAAGGAAACAAATCAAAAGTCAGGGATATATTAGTCACTTAGTGCCTCAGTATGTAAAATTACAAAGAAATAAAGGGTTATATTAGTACAAGTGATATTAAAATACCTAAGTTAGCTAAATAATATTTATGGAATGTCCAAACCTAAATTATTAATTATTAATATATCAATATTATTTGTCCAAACCTAATTACGAAGCATGATTCTTTGCCAAGTAAGATTCCGAAGCACCAGAAGCAGCCACGTAGGCTCAGCGCATATATATATATATATATATAGGGAGGTTAGCACATATTTTGGACCTTGGGTTCTGGGGAGGTTAGCTTCTGGGATGAGTGGTGGTTCGGCGAGGCCCCTCTCTCGAGTACTAGGCCAGTCACTCACCTGCCTTTCATGCAGGTGAAGGACCTTTGGACGGGAGGGTTTTGGGATAGAGATAAGATGGAGGATATTCTTAGTGAGGGTGGGGGTTTTAGTAGTCTAGAGATTGACCAGTGACCGCGCGTCGCGACGCGGCAAATTTAAATTTATAATATTACCTTGACTAACCTCTACTAACTAGTAGTAGCGGCGAGTAAGGGTCGATCCCACGAGGAGCAGGAATTAAGTCGTGATAAATTTGGTATCAATTGAACTAAATTACGAAAGCAGTAAATGAGGGGATTGGTTTTGATAAAAATAAAAATAATAAAAATAAAATAAAAATCAATAAAATAAAATAAGTCCAGTTTTCGGTTCAGTTATCACCCAAATCTCAATCTACCGTTAATTAATTTTGACGCTTTCTTTAAATTGCTAATGAATTACTGACCCTAGCTAACAACAAGCTCTGTTAACCGAATTTTCCCTTACTGAATATTTAGTCGAAATAGGCTCTTCGACCAAGCCTAACTAGTGGACAACCTAGAATAAGCTCTCTAGATTTAATACACTAGCAGCATTAATTACTAGGAAAATAGATCAGTCTAAGCAACAGACGCGTAAGCTCGGACCATTTAACTTATGTTCACGCTACCCTAAGGATGCACGACCCCTAGTTTACTACTAACGAAACGAGAACAATAACAATTACGGATTAATAAGTCTCGTATCTAGCAGTTAAACTATGAATATTTAACGTAGTTGGCCAGACTAAATCAAACACCATAATTCATAAACATTAAACACAGATAACATGAATCAACTCATTAACAAAATAAATACGGCGTCTAGATTAATCAACGATAAATTCAAATCCTTAAATTCATAGACAAATTCAAGTTAGGGTTCAACATCCCCTCAAACTGGATAGAAAAACTAGCCTAACATACTAATAAAAATAAATAAAAGATAAAAGAGAGAAAACAAATTTCTCCCTTGTGTGCGATTGCGGCTTCCCTCCGCGAATTTCTCCTTCTCAGTCCGTGCGTGCTCTTCCTTATGTCCGCCCTGCGCTTTTCTTCTCTCTTTTCCTGTACAGTTCTGGGCTCTCTCTGTTTTTTTTTCTTCTCAGGTAAATAAATCCTCCGCTCCTGAAAATCTGCGTGAGTGCCCTGGTGCTCACGTTTCTATTTCTTTTTTTTTTTAATTATTATTTCCTAACAAAAATATCCACTTCCAAATAATTCCCTTTATACTCCATGTGACCTGAATGTCTCCATATGAAATTTGATGGTGCATGTAATTGTGTCCAGGTAAGCTCACCACAATTAATTTATGTTTCTCCAATAATCGTGTGCAACCCCTTCAAGCTCCTGGCTCAAATCAATTTCACTTTCTTCTGGGCCCAAAAATCTGAAAATAAATCATAAAATAATCAAAGCATATAAATCCATCTAAATAATAAATAGGTCGAAAACTATAAGTGTGCGAATAAATCAAGCATATAAAAATACACTATTAAACATATAAATACGCACATTTTTCGACCTATCAACCAGATCCGACAGATTCCCATTATGGAGGGAGGTTTGGATGGCATGAGGTGGAGACTTACATCTTCGGGTGCATTCTCTACGTCATCAGCCTGGGGAGAAGTGAGGCTGGGCAACCGGCCAAACCGCCTCTTCGGGGCCATATGGACCGACCTTCTCACCCGACCATTTCTGTTTTTTTGTGGCGCCTCCTCTTACGGCGCATTCCCATTGACACTGTGATGCAGACGAGATGGTTCTCCTTCCCCTCACGCTGCCATTGTTGTGCTGAGACCGGTACCTTTGAGATCGAGACTTTCACCTATCTTTTCCTTGAGAGTGAGACTGTGAGGAGAGTGTGGGAGCACTATGCCAGATATACTCATATACCCCTACCCACTACAGACAGTTTTTTTGAGCTTCTGAGTTTTTTCGCTCACCGCACACACAGTAGACACGTGGGCTTCCTTATTCCTTGTCTGATCCTATGGGCCACCTGGACAGAAAGGAATAATGCGAAGCATATGGATATTATATTTTCTTGTGCTCACATTATTTTGCAGGTTGACAGACACCTCTCTCTCCTCACTGCCCTGGGTAGACTCACGACGAGAGTCTGGACAGGGTGTACACCGCCCCATCGTTTGAGGCCACCACCTCCTTTACCTGTCCAGCATTCACGACCCAAAATCGTTGTTTGGCTGAAACCCAAGGCCCCTTGGGTTAAGCTAAACACTGATGGCGCTTTCGACAGACATACCGGAGCTGCTGGAGGAGGGGGCCTGATTAGGGATCATGAGGGGCACTCATCTCTACCTTCCATGGGCAACTCCGGGCCTCCTCGAGTTATGATGCAGAGATTCAAGCGCTCTAGATTGGTCTCGAGATTGCCGCCTCGATCTCCTCTCATGTTTGGATAGAGATGGATGCTGCGGCTGTCATCACACTTCTGACATCCGGCCACCAAGGCTCATGGCAGATCCAGCATCCTCTTA